GCGGGAGGGGGGGGGGGTTCGATATAAACCCGGACGAGCGGTGAAAAAGCGAGGGGCAGGGAGCGGAGGGGATCAGCAGCAGGGAGAGAAGGGCGGACGGATGAGCGTGGGAGGAGCGGTAAAACCACTCGCACGCACAACGGGTGCCCCAACCCGGTATTTGCCAACACAACAAGAGCGCACGAATCGCCTACTCCCCATATTTGTCTCTCCACATAAAAAAGTTTATTTTTTTAGCGTCCCATTTAGTCGCACGACCTTCTTCTGGGAGTCGCTGCGGTGGCGAGATGTTAACTCATTCGCCGGGTATGGTAGGAGGTTGTTGGTTCGATTCCGACCCTGACGCCGGCTGTAAATTAGTAGTTTTCATGTTCTCCCTGGGGTCACGTGGATTTTTCTCCGGCTCCTCCGGTTTTTCTCTCCACATTTTGGAAACATGCGCTTTGAGTATTTAGCTGCTAAACATTTCCATGTGATAATCCACGTCGGTGAGCTATAATTTGTGTCTAGGTCGCTTCTGAAAAAGAGCTCTAGAGCTCAGTGGACCTTTACCTGGTAAAATAAAAATAGTTTATTTAGTTTAGTTTTATCTCGACACAATTGGTTTAATGCAAGCACAACTCTGGACCGGTTTCGACGTTTCAGGCTTTGCTTGAACCAATGCTGGCGAACTGTTAGAAGGTACGAGTGCTGCCGCTTCAATGCGAGTCACCTGTATGATTGGTGACTCGTGATGGAACGTCATGAGGGGTCGTTGCTGAGAATAGGAGTAGCAACATTATCTGCGGATGTCTTTATAGATATTCACAAATGTAGAAAAAGGTATTTACGAATCGCGCGAAATATTTTTGTTTGCGGTAAATATCTGGCTGCGAGGTGGCCAGAAGATGCGTATGACCCCAGTGGTTTATTGAATCCATCTTTGCGGAGCTTTAAGTCTGAGTCGTGGATTTTTAAAGAATTACATGTGAGCCCCGGGTAGTCATAGCAGATATTGAGCACCTATTAAGGCCAGCACGACGCTCGAGACGGTGATGCGTTCAATAATACTCCTGGCCACCTTTGTCTCCCCAGTTGCTGATGTGAACCCACCGCGCCAGGTACTCCGAGTATATTCCTCAGCGGAAGCTCAGGACCGCGTGCAGACACCGCTCGCCACCGATGCTAGCCGTGGCCAGGATCGAACTCAAGTGGCTAGGATCGTAGTGCAGTGCGTTAACCGATCCGCCACCGCTCATCACACTGGCCAGGTGTCTAAATGTCAGCGCTGGAGAGATTAAGGATGCTGGGCGCTGTGCTCGCCACACCGCCCCACTCGAGTGCAGGGCCATTATTAATAGGTGATCGCTAACAACACTCATACGTGTGTGTCAACAGTATATGTATTCGTGTGTGTGTATACATAAGTCGATTCAGGCTCAAGTGAGCACCTGGTGGCGTGTGTAAACATTTCCACTGGGAAGACAAAGGTGGCCGGGAGTATTGCTGTCCACGCACCCCCTGATGTGCTTTGCCGGCATCCAGATGTGCTCGCTAACAGCACTTTCCCTAAAATATATTTGTCATTTGTGTGCATTTGGCAGGCGCGGTGGCTCAGTGGTTAGCGCACTGCACTACGAATCTGGCCAGCCGGATCGGTGTGCATATCACTAAGATTGACATTGCGGTACGGTAGGAAATCAAGGTACGTGATTTTTTGGTTCTTAAGTACGGTACAAAATTGCTGTACGATATTTTTTGTGACCACGTACCGTACGAAAGTACAGAGTTTTTTCCAACCATTTTCCTCTTTTCATACCAACGCAGGTGATAAATTAGAAGCTAAGCTTCTTATTTTCTGATAATCATTCTACTTTCTTGTCCTTAAAGGGCGGCTCCAACATTTAACACATCAGGTTTCAAAAAAACTAAAACGGCAGGCAAGATTCATTTCTCAAAATGGCACTTGCCATTGATAACAGATTTTAAACGGGTTTTTAATCAATATTTCGAAATTAAAATCCAATTTTGGATTCAAATGTTCTTTGTCAATTCGAGTAAAAAAGAGATCAAACAGGTTTACAGAGTATATTTTTAAGAGTAATGAGCTTTCTACAAAGTAACAAATTAAGCAAAACTATATCCTATAGGCGTGCTTGTCATCTATCCCTTATTTACTGAGCTTTTATTTTTCTTTGGTACGATATAAGGGAACGAAATTATGGCACGCAATTTTACTGAAATGTTACCGTACTGGTCCATACCTGTCAAACCCTTATCAGTGCCTACCTTACTACAGACCAATTCAGACCTTATTGGTCACCCCGTGCCCTAATAAATGTATCCTACAAAGTTCCATCAAAGGGAGAAACACAAACAAATATAAAAAATGTGCCCTATTGATATGGATGTACACCGTATGGATCTGACAACTCATTTTTCCTGTACAAGAATACGAGATAATCCGTATGGGTTGACACGGTATGCTGGTACGACACGACATTTTTTCAAAGGTAGGGGTACGAAAATAAATGTAAAGTTTCGGTATGAAACTACGGTACAATATTATTGTTTTGTTCGAGGAAGAAATACTCGAAGAGAAATCTCATACGGTGTCGTTACTGCCAACCCTTGCTCGCAACTGATGTTAGCCGTGTCTAGGAAACAATTTCAGCAGCCGGGTTCATAGCACCGTGCGATAACCATTGTGCCACCACTCCACCCGTGTATGTATATACGCCTACATGTATATTGTTCCTGTATGGGTATGTATGGGGAGCGGTATTGAGTGATGACCGCGCTGCACTACGAACCCGGCGACCCGAGTTTAATTCCCGCTCACTATCAACACCAATGACGATTATGTTAACCGGTTCTGGACCTCCTCTAGGTCGACTCAGCCTCAAATGAGGACCTTGTGCGATGTGTGACATCCGCACTGGAGAGACAAAGGTGGTCGGGCGTAGTCCTGCCCACCCACCCCCTCGCTTACCGTGCTTGCCTTCATAGGTGCTCGTTATCATCACTTGCCCCAACAGTCTGTTAAGGCCATTAGGGGGAACTTCATTATTGTCTTTGTATGCCTATATCTATATATGTATGTGTGCTTATACGTAGATGTCTCCATCAAAATACATTTAAACAGATGTGATCTCCGACTGACAGCACTCGTCACTATACCATGATGTCGAGTCTCAATTCGAATGAAATCGCTCCACAGTTGTCTATCACTGCATCACCGCTGCTGTCAGTCGGTCAATATTTGCTAAACACGTGCATGGATCGGTCCCTGAGACAACACGGCGGCAGTCAGTTCTTCGGGAACCGCTGATTGTGTTTGCGTCATGCTTTTTGTGCACGTGTGTTCTGTTAAACCAGTTAACCCCCAACTGGCGGCCTCCAAGTGCTCTTCTATCGGCTCGAGCTTCGCGCTCGGACCGTGTCCGTATTAGGGGCGAGACTCGAGGCACCACTGACCCTGAGATCTAGATAGAGGTCGCCAGTCCCGTTCAATCTTCCGGCGCGGCAGACGATACAATTGGCACGTTTCGTAAATCCACCCGCACCCACGGTGGCCTTTGTCCAGCTAGCAGTATGGTTGGGTACAGCGCTTTAATTCTGTATTTATTAATTTGTTTTTAATGAGGTTCTCATCTTTCTTAAAAACGCAACTGTTTTCATTTCACCACGTAACTCACTGAGCTACTGAGCGACCTGGCCAAATATGATAGCTCAACGCAGTGGCTTATCATCACTTGGAAACATATCAGCAATATATTTGAAACGCGTGTTTCTAAATGTGGAGGACTCGGAAAAAAATTCACACTACCACGGGGAAAACATGCAAACTCCAAATATACAGCAGCAGGCGTCAGGGTCGGGATCCAACGCACGACCTCCTGTAGACCAGGCGAGCGAGTTAACATCTCCTAGCCACGGTGGCGCCCGTTGGACTGCAGCCCTCCTATCGTGTTTGTTGTTGTAACTTCCCGACCCACCCCGATTGGACATCTATGAAAAAGGGCTTCATAGCTCATCGAATTTCTCCAGGATTAATACAGATTCTGACGATGACTCTTCACGGCACAGTCTGTCCAGAATGTAGCTCTTTACGCCTCCGTACGTGCCGTGATGAAGGGCCATTGGTCCGAAACGTCGCCTATTATATACGTGTTTTATTTAAGGCCACAGTGTTATTGACGAATGTGGTGATATTTAGTTTTGTGATCAACACGGTTGCAAATAAAACGAGGCGATTTTAACCCAAACTAGGATTAGGGTGTAAATAAGAAACATTGTTTCCACATTCGTGACTTACACTGCCGGCGAGCCGGGGCGAAGCTTCATAGCTCATCGGATTCCTTATACACATATATATTGTGATTGTGTAATCTTCGCTAACTAGTTTCCGCTCATCCTTCAAAACGCACTTATTTTCTCGTTATTTAACGATTACTTTTTTATGTTTTAATTTGCTAAGTAGTAGGGTTTTGTTGTTGTATTATCTGTGGAAGGGACTGGCTAATTGATGTGCAGCGTTGTTCGATGAAATTGCATGAATGAAATCATTACATTCATGTTCCCTAGCTCATCGCACAACCACATAGTTTCCCCCTTCGAATCACCATGCTTCTTGTTCCTTCTTCATAATCTATTTCCATGGCAACAACTCATTCCCCATCCATCCAATCCAATTGACATCACGCATCACAGGTTCGCCCATGACTTCTCGTTTTTTTTATTTACCTCATCTCCGCCATTGCATTTGCACGCGCACCATTGTGGATAATGTGCAAAGCGCCTCGGTCAAGGCGCTATATAAATGACGATAAGATGCGCCCGTTGCTTATTGCAGAAGTAATTCAGGCGTGGAGCGAGAGATGGCGCGGCGGTTAGCACATGCCTGAATTATTTCTGCAATATGCAACGGCTCCCTCATCTCGGTACCTGGACTGTGCCCTATATCTCCACCGTGACCGCTCGTATCTCTGTGCGCAATCCACTCACTGCAGACGCCAACCATGGATAACTCCTCGCTCGCCTCGTCGCCCAGCTGCGTCATCTCCTTCTCCAACCTCAACTGCACGCCGACCTCGCTGAAGTCCAAGCACGACCGTGCCGTCGCGGTGTTCACCATTAGCTTATTCATCGTCATCACCATCCTCAGCAACCTGCTCATCGTCAGCGCCGTCGCCCTATTCAGGCAGCTGCAGACGCAGGCCAATGCCCTCGCCCTGTCGCTGGCCGTGTCCGACCTCCTCGTCGGGGTGGTCATCATGCCCCTGTCCCTCACCAAGTCGGTCTACAAGTGCTGGTTCTACGCGCCTCTACTCTGTCACGTGCACTTTTTCTGCGACTACTGGTTCACGACCGCGTCGGTGCTACACCTGAGCTGCATCGCCTACGACCGCTACGTGGCCATCTGCGACCCCCTGCGCTACCAGCAGCGGATGAACAGGAGGGCCCTGGTGGTCATGCTGCTCTTCTGCTGGCTCTGCTCGGCCCTGCTGTCCACGCCGATCCTGCTCAGCCTGAGCCCCACGCTGTCGCAGGGAACCATCGCGAAGAACGGCTGCCCCGACGACTGCCGCTTCTTCATCAGCGTGGGCATCCTCTTCGCCATCGGCATGTGGCCCTACTTCACGTCCGTGCTCCTGGTCGTGCTTATGTACGGCCGCATCTATCGAGTGGCGCGCGGCCAGGCGCGCAAGATCGCCGCGATGGACCGCGCCTCGTCGGGCCTCGGCGGCGGGGACGAGGCCGGCAGGGCCGCGGCGAGTCGCTGGGCCAGCATGAAACGGGAGCACAGCGCGGCCAAGACGCTGGGCGCTATCCTCGCCGCCTTCATTATCTCCTGGCTGCCCTACTACATCATCGCCATCATGCTCACGGTAGACGAGAGCGTCATTCTGCCCTACAAGGTATCGGTGTGGCTCGGCTACATGAACTCGGCCATCAACCCCATCCTGTACGCCACCTTCAACAAGCAGTTTCGACGCGCGTTCAAGGCCATTCTGACCTTCAACACGTACCCGTCAAGAGCCGCAGATGACGAGATGAGTTCGACGAAGAATTAGGTCCACCCCCACCCCTACCCCCACCCACCCGCCCACACTCACACACACTCACACACGTATTTATGATACCATATTAGTAGAAGAAAAACAAGTTTTGCTGGCTGACTGGTTGGAGGCAACGACGGACGATCATTTCCACCCATAGGACGTGTGGGCTGCTCGCGTATGTCTGTACAAAAATAACTCAATATATTCGTAAATAATAACACTGTGGCATTATATTTCTGTTAAAATAGATGATATGCGAGGTTACGGGCAATATCCCTTCTTTATAAAACATATATAAGCTCGGGATGAGACTTATGCTATATTGTGTGGGCAGTTGGCGTTTACGGGCGTAAGGCTCGATCACAAAGGGTCAAAGTTTCACATTGTCTGCCAGGAGGGAGGGGCGATGCCGCGACGTGGATTTTACCGAATTAAGTAAACTTGCGCTGTACATACTCTTTGTTTTTTTCGGTAAAGTCAAGTTGGTAAAAAAAAAATGAAAACAACTAAATTAAATCACGACGTTTCCGAAGCAACACAAGCCTCCGTCTTCATTTGGAACACGCCACAGCAAAATCACCACAGTGAAGACGGAGGCTTGTGTTGCTTCCGAAACGTCGTGATTTAATTCAGTTGTTTTCATTTATTTAATTAAAATTTTACCTACCTGACTTTACCGAAAAAACCAAAGAGTATGAATCCTTGCAGTCACGAAAGCTTGCGGTGTACATTTTAAAACATTGGACTATGCGAATAGTGACGCTGGCAAGGGAGTTTCTTACTCGCTTTCGAATGACGTCACGCGATCTCGAGCGTCCACCGTGAAGCGGACGGCGCTCGTCAACGGTGAATGCACCAGCATCATTAACTAGGGCGGCCGCCGGAGTCGGTGCCGCGAGCCACGGTAAGGCAACCACGTGCTAGCGGCTCGGTGAAACGTTCCCCTTTGTCGCGAGGACCCTCTTTTGAAATGAAGCCTTAAGCATCAGCGAGGGGTTTCCGGAGTAAATAAATTAAGTGATGTATATCATGGGACCTTTCTTGCCAGTATCAAAGTATGATAATTGGTTTGACCTTTTTTGGCAATAAACAGTCGTGTTAAGATGTTAAGACTCCAAACAGAAACCTTTTGCAAGGAATCATGCCTGCATTAACAAACACATACTTGTGGTGAACATACAAACAAAAAATTGCTCTGTTAATACATGGATTGTCTTTGAAACGGATTGGTCCACACCAGAGGAGCTTACTTTAGAGCCTAGTCTCAAGCCGTTTTCGACTAGAGTCTCAAACAAGTTTCACATTTTCAAGTTTCATTTATTAGGTGTAGCCCTGTGAGCCGTGCGGCTCTTGAGTCGGGTCCATCCGCAACAAACAAAATGTGAACAGAAAATATCTTAAAGCGACATCCTGGATAAACCAGCAAATCTTCCAGAAAAAAAACCCACCATATTACAACGCTGTGTGCAAAAATCACAAGTCAAACAATAACAAAGTTTCTTGCTGTGGATTTCACAAAAAAAACTTTGCTGTGGATTTCACAAAAAAACTTTTAAAAAATGTTCTTGCCGTGGATTTTACACTTGATAATGATTGCTTGTGTTGCAGTCGAAACGTCGTGAAAAAGTTTATTGTTTATATTTATATCATTTTATTATTTCTCTTTTACGTGACTTTACCGAAAGAACCAATAATATGAATCCCTGAAGTCATGAAAGCTTTAAATCAAAACCATTAGACAATTCAGATTAAAGTTATCAGGCCAACTCCACACTTCCGCAAGAAACATGTCTTAACCATATGTTTTCTAAATCACCAAAATAAAGTTATGAAAACAATGTAACAACAGTAATCATAGGAACTGTGATTCAAATTTAACAATAAACAACATACATAACATGTACAGTCAGTTTCAAGGACGATGCATATATTACCAGAGCATGTTTTTGTTTGCATGTTCGTCACAAGTATGTGTGGTTAATGCAGACATGACTCCTTGCAAAAGGTTTCTGTTTGGAGTTGTAATATCTAAAAACGACCAGAAGTGATCATTGATAGGGCCTCCACTTACACAAACACACATATCCCCGTATAGCCTTAACATTCTGTTAGGGCAAGTGCTGTTAACGAGCACCTATGAAGACCGATAAGGCATGCAAGGGGGTGGGTGGCCGGCACCACGCACGGCCGCCTTTGTCTCCCCATTAGCGATGTTTACACACCGCACCAGGTACTCATTTGAGGCTGAGTCGACCTAGGGGAGGCCCAGGACCGGTTAAGATATTCGCCACTGGTGTTGGCCGCGAGCGAACTCGGGTCGCCAGGTTCGTAGCACAGCGTGCTAACCGCTACACTATCTACTCACACGGACACACAAATGGGCCCAAACAGACACCACGTCGATGATGTGATTGATGTGGGAGTTGGGAATAGTTTTATATAATAAATAAATAAAAACTGACATCACGAGCCCTACACGTTTTGTCAAAATGCGTTCGTGTGGTTGTGTATATTTGCGATCGTGGATATTTGCGTGGTTGTGTGAATTTGTGTGGTTGTGTGTATTTATGTGGTTGTGTGTATTTATGTGGTTGTGTGTATTTGTGTGGTTGTATGTGTGGTTGCGTGTCTTTGTGCACCTAGCCTGGCAAAAGTGCTACAAGTGCTACAAGTGCCAGGCTAGGTGTCAAAACAATCCTGGGGTGTATATCCCTCATCGGGGATGTTCCTCCACTTCTATATCATGGTTGTATCCTGACTACCACGTCCATATGTTTGGACGAGGTCGTAAATCTTGATGCCTTCTTGCAAAGGGTCCATCATGAACGGAGCACATTCTCAATCATCATCGTCACTTAAATGACGAACGGCGGTTGTTGTTGTGTATTTGTGAATACGTGTGTGGGTGTTTGCGTGGTTCTGTTTGTGCGGTGTAGTGTGTGGTTATATTATACTGTATGTTAGCGTGTGTGTGTTTGAATTGCTGTGCATATTTTGATGTGTGTATTATTGGTCGTGGAGCAGTTAGCTGGCTGCTCTACAAACCAGGCTACCCGAGTTCGATTCTCGCACACGATCAACACCAGTCACGATTATCTGAACCGGTCCTGGACCTCCCCTAAGTCGACTCAGCCTCATATTAGTACCTGGTGTGGGGTGTAAACATCGTCATTGTGTGTATTTGCGTGGGTGTATTTGTGCGGTGTAGTGTGTGGTTGTGTGTATTTGTGTCAGTATTTTTTTTCCACACGACTGTGTGTCTTTTTAGTTGTTTTATGGGTATTACCCCGTGTGTGTTACGGCCTGTTCCAACCTTCTGCCAGCGCGCCTTCCCCAATTTACGTGGCCTCAGAGTGCACCTATCCTGGCAAAAGCGCTGTGGTGAGTGGCGAATGGCAGCTGTTGCTGGTGCTGTGTGTGATTGTGGGGAGCGGTAGTGTAGTGGTTAATGCGCTGCAAGCTCGGCGACCCGAGTTCGATTCCCGCTCACGACCAACACCAGTGACGATTATCTGAACCGATCATGAGCCTCCCCTAGATCGACTCAGCCTCAAAAAAATCCTGGTGCGGTGTGTAAACATCACCACTGAGCAAAGGTGGAAAGGCGTGGTGTTGGCCACCCACCACCTCGTGTACCGTGCCCGTCTTCATAGGTGTTCGCAAACAGAACTTGCCCCAATAGTCTGCTCAGGCTATACGGGTGGTCTCTGTCTTAGTCATGGGTTTTTGGGATAAACGTCCGCGGAGGGAGATGGACACCAGTGTCACTAAGAAGAGATGGGGCTTTACCATCAGCACCACCAAAACAAATCACGTGCCTGGGTGTGTGACGTCTGTTGGCTCCTATGATGCATCCCCCCTGCTCCTCCCCAAGATGTGTCAGATATCAAAGGAGACTTTCCCACACGTTCAACTTCAGTCACACGAGTGGATTTACACCACGCCAGGGATGTCCACACAACTGAGGTGTGCTCGAACCGCGAATCACTGCCATATGGATGTTAAATAAATTAACGAGTCTGTCGCCTGTCAAACCATCAATATAAATTGATATTACTACCCACCGTCTATCGGCCGATAGTGTGTGTGATGGGGGGTAATTTGAGTACATTCACGGTGTTGTTTTTCAATTGTGGCACATTTGGATCATGCCGCCGGCACACAACGGCCGACTCTTGCGAATTATGTCTACGGGATATTTAACGTCTCCTGTGAGTGGAGCAGTAGTGGCAATTCTACGGTTAGTACACCTGCAGTGTTAATTAGGACGGCCGCTGTAATCGAACCGCAATACGATCGGACACGCACTGTCGCTGGGCCTCCGTTCAGCATTGTTTGCTGTTTTATCAAATAAACTAGCTGTACTACCCGGCTTCGCCCGGGACTTGTATCCACCACGCCCGGCCGCCTTTGTCTCCCCAGTGGCGATGTTAATACGCCACACCAGTTACTCGTTTTGAGGCTGAGTCCCTCCCTCACCGCTCTCCCTCCCTCACCACTCTCTCTCCCTCACCACTCTCCCTCCCTCACCACTCTGTAGAGGACGTCAAACTTTGATGAATTTACCTCAGAGTCGCGTGGTGGGTGTCTAGGCCTAGCACCGTGCAGAGCCTCCGGCCTCGCCTAAATTGCCCACCCGGCTGAGGCTGGATACGAGTGGCGTTCCCCCCCCCCCCCCCGCGCTACAATAATACTGTCTAATCGCTATAATTTTATAATCTACCGACCCTATAATAGTAATTGCACACATTGTGGTGGGGGGGGAGTGAAGAGGACGTGAAACTTTGATGAATTTACCTCAGAGTCGCGTGTTAATGCATACGCTTATTTTTAACGGGAATTACAAATGGCGTCCACCCCGCAGCGAAGGCGTCGCTACCCGTTGCCAGGGGCAACCGCCGTCCAATGAAAGTGGCGAAGGCGTCGCTACCCGTTGCCAGGGGCAACCGCCGCCCAATGAAACTGCGTATGGTCCGGCGACCCACAGACAGACAGACAGATTCGCGATTTTA